CCTCCCATCCCCCCCCCTCCTCAGAGGCGCCCACCCGCTCAATCCCACCGCCTGCCCGGCGCTACCTCTTTCCTCCTGCTGGGCGCCCCCGGGCGCGTGAGGAGAGCGGTCTCTTCGCACACGACGACCACATCTTCCACAAAGACAGAGTCGGGCAAGCTCTCGTCGCCGGGCAGCTCTAACACCTGCAGCCCCAGCTTGTTCTTTAGCACCCCCACGTAGAGCTGGTGCTCCCGTTCGGCGCGCGCGAAGTCCACCTCTTTCGCCTTCTCCCGTCTCAGCGCCTGCTGGCACAGCGACTCCGGTAGCGCCCGCACCACGGCGTGGCTGCACCGCCCGAAGCGGAGGGGGCCGCCGCTCAGCCCTGCCATGTTCACACAAGGGTAGCGAGGAACAGGAGCCGAAGAGGAGAAACCACAGCCCGCCTTCGTGTCTGGTTGCGCAGCTGCTGCCAAGCTTTCCCCCCTCCTCCCAGAGCCAGCTGAAATGGCCTCCTTCCCTCCCAATAGGAGGTGGACGCCAGCGCGCTAGAAGCCGGAGCAGCTGTGGATTGGCCACGCCTCGCTACACTATCTACATCATGCTCCCTATTCAAAGAAGTGCCCATTGGCCGGTTGTTTGGGTTAAGATACCGGGTTGGTTCAAACTGGCCGAAATTGCCTTGCACCGAGTTTTAGCCTTGGGAAACCTTTGGAAAACGCGCTAACTGCATCCCGTTCAGTAGTCCATCTGCACCTCAATGGCAGGTGCGATGGGGGCTGAACCTGATGGATATACACGAAGTATAGCTTTCAAATACATTTAAGTTCTTCATCAGAATAACATTTTAGGCTAAAAAGAGATTGCTTACTCTCCTTCCTCCCTAGCACTGAGGACAGTTTGAAGGAGAGCTGGTGTACAAATATCACACTTTTCCTTTTGGTAATCACACTTTACAGATTGTGGTTTGTGGATTTTTTTTTAACTGGAAAAAAAAACTTGCTAAAAGGTGCTAAAAGTGAACCTAAATTTGTACAGGTTGTCTTAAGAACTTGTGAAGAATAAAAATAATTTAACATCTGGTACATTTGGGTATAGAATGGGTGAAAGCAGCCTTTTAATCAACTTAACCAATGCTGCAGATATTTAAGCCTGGGGCACATGCTAGGTTTTCATTTTATTTTTTATTAATATATTGTTATACACTGTTCTGCACTGAAGTCACTTATAAGTCAATAGAATGTTGTTTAAAGATTTTCTTTCCTTTCCTAGCACTGTAACAATTCAGTCTTGTACATATATATATTCACACATAAGACCCATTAAATTCAATAGTTCAATTTCCAAATAATTAAGTGTAGAATTTTAGCTTTAATCTGGGTTTGGAAATTCTGGATTTTAGATTTAAATTTTGAAAGTTGAAAACTGCCATTCCAAACAGGTTTGTTATTCTATAGTTTTATGGAAATGAATATAGAACATGTTCACTTCTAGATCAGTATGTCCTAGAGAAAAATAGACCATAGAGTTTTGCCCTTCCCTGCTTCCATTTACTGGAAGGTGAAATGGTCAGGTTATTTCTTATTGCCAGAATACTCTCTACCTCTTCAAGTTAATTCTGTCTTTTCCGGGGACACTTGGACATACTTCAAAAGAAAACATGAGGTTAACTCCCCACCCACACCCCATAATTATTTGGATTTCTTGGAATGTCTCCACAGTAAAAGTGAAGCCCAGAATAATACATGGAAGTAAAACTGATGCTTAATGTTGGAAGAAATCTAAAAATGAATGAAATCAAGTAGTCAGTTAGCCTGCAGGGCACCAAGGGGTATATCTCTGGATGACATGTTGGGGATTAGGCCATTGTATTAGTGTGTTTCAACTAGTAATTGAATTGAGTTGCTTTTCTTGTATAATGCAAACCTAATTAACATAAAACCAAACTATTTTCAAAGGACAGATATTGAAAAATCTATCCTATCACAGCCTCCTATTACTTATCTGTAATTGCAGCAGTTGGAGAAGAATCACTTAGCTAGCAAATAAAGATGTCTCCATATGGCAGATTCCTTAACAATGTCAGGAAACACATAAAAAGTGGAGTGTAAACCCTAAAATAGATGTAACATGGTTTAAACATTCCTGTCACAAGAAAGAAGGAGAGAAAATATGGGTCTCACCCACAAGATGATGCAGCTCTACAGACTATGTTACCACTCAAACCATGTTCTTCAACACACACACACCCCACATTAATTGCCGTCCTCCCATCAAAAGATTGACCATTCCTTGTTTATAACAAATGTGATGCATGAAAGCCGCATGATTTTGATCTTCTCAAGAAAAGACTAAGGAGGAACATGCATTCTTTCATTGCAAGGTTAGATATAAAGGACTTAAGTTACAGAACTTAGATTGTCACCTGGCCTAAGACAAGGACAGAACTAAGAAGGAATTGTAATTTCTTTCTTTCTGGGTGAGTTCTGAGGTACAACAGCACAGTCAGCAATGTTGTTCAGCTTCATTGACTGCAAAGATACATAGCTGCTAAATTTATCTTGGCTCCACAAATAGAAATTGAGAAGGTTTTGTGTTGTGGTAAGAAATACAGAGGCAAGAGTCTATAAAGGAGCACATCACATCTATTTTAAGCAATACATATCCACCTCAAATGGTAGTAAAAACACTTATTGATGCATTCTTATTTCTAAAATATTTATTTATTTATTAATCCATCATATTTATATAGTTGCTGATCTCACAATCAAGTGACTCTGGGTGGCATACAACAAAGTTAAAAACAATACATATAAATTAATATTAATATTATTAATATTAAAAACTTTAAAATTATAAAAAGCACAAAACTAAAACAGAATACAAAAAGAGATTGGGTGAAGAGCAGATGTTAATTATACATGAGGCATCTCAATATTTGGCCAGTCCTCTGGGGACACAACCAGTCTTGAGGGACCTCCAGAAAGTTAAAAGGGGTCAGGCCAGCCTCACTTTCAGGGGAAGGATGTTCCATAAAGTGGGGGCCACAGCAGAAAAGGCCCACTGCCTAGGACCCACCAAATGAAGCTCCCTAGCTGATGGGACCCACAGCATGCCCTCTTTGCTGGATCTGGTGGGACCGGTAGATGTAATCAGGGAGAGGTGGTCCCTCAGTAACCTAATCCTGTGCCATATAGGGCTTTAAAGGTCAAAAACAGCACCTTGAATTGGACCCAGAAACAGACTGGTAACCAACACAACCCACGGAACAGGTGTCCCGTGTGTTCTGCTAGATATACAGTACACATAACTGCCTGGGCTGCTACATTAAGCACCAGCTGAAGCTTCCAGATACAGGACAGCCCCATGTAGAGGGCATTATAGTAGTCCAACCAGGAGGTGACTAAGACATGAGAAGCTATGATTAGAGCCTCCTGATCTAGGAATAGGCACAACTGAGGCATAATATGAAGTTGAGCAAAGGCCCTCCTAGCCATGACTGCCACCTGCTTGTTGAGCAGGAGTTGTGAGTCTAGGAGAACCCCCAGATTGTGCACGGGCTCTGTTTGGGGCAGTGCAACCCCATCCAGAACCAAAGATGGTATAGTCCTAGAACCAGCAGACCCCAAAACCCAAAGCCACTCAGTCTTGTCAGGGTTCAGTTGAAGCCTGTTGTTCTCCATCCAGACCCTCACAACCTCCAGGCACCAGGGTAAGATGCCCATAGCATCGCTTAGTTCACCAGGGGCAGAGATATAATTGCACTGATACCTCACCCCATGGCAACAGATGAGCTCACCCAGTGGCCTCATGTAGATGTTAAATAGGAGCGCAGACAGCACCGACCCCTGTAGCACCCCACACACTAGGGGCCGAGGGCAGGATCTCTCCTCCCCCAATCACTGCTGGCTGGAATGGACCCCTAAGAAAGGGGGCGAACCAGCACATCACCATGCTGCCCACTCCCAATCCTCTGAGTCAGTCCAGAAGGATACCATGGCTGATGATATTGAAAGCCACCAAGAGGTCAAGCAGGGTGAGGATGGATGCACAAACCCCATCCCGTCCACACCTGAGATCATCTGAAAGCATGACTGATACTGATTCTATCCCATATGTGGGTCTGAATCCCAACTGAAAAGGATTTAGATAATCCGCTTCATCTAGGGTCCTCTGAAGCTGTTGCACAACCACCTTCTCAAGTCACCTTCCCCATAAAGAGGAGGCTCAATACTGGATGAAAATTGTCCTGTATAGTGGGGTCCAGAGATGGCTTCTTGAGGAGGGGCCAAACCAAAACCTCCTTAAGAGGCAATGGAACAACCTCCTCACTCAAAGAAGAATTTACCACTGCTGGAACCTACTCACACAACACCTTAACCACCCAGGAGGGGCATGAGTCTAAAGAGCAGCAGCTGAGCTCACAGTCCTAAGGACCCTGTCCACTTCATCAGACCAACAGGTTCAAAATAGTGTCATTGTTGGCTTTCCTTTCAAACTTAGCAAATTTTAAAAGCAATCATTCTACCAAAAAATTGTATCTATTATACTTGAACAAGTATAATATAACATTGTTCCTATCCCCCCTCAAATTTATATGGGCCTGCTGGATGCTGCCTGGTCTTTCCTCCCCACTCCCCAGAACATGGATACTTGAGGGTAGAGGAGACAAGGCTTAGTTAAACCTTAAGACAGTGATCTTGTAAGATTAAGGCAATTAGCAGTACCTGGGCCCAGAAGAGATTTGCCCATTATAGTACTCAGCCTTGTACCTGGCAGTTTTTCAGTAAACACCGTTATTTTCCTCTTCCAGCTTTCCCAACCAATACTGAAATTACAACACAGATGATATTAGATCAGAAGTGATAGTAACATTCTAGGATAGAATAAAGCCTTGCATGGCATGGGCCCAGGATACCTGAGGAACCGTCTCATCCTGGTTAAATCCGCCTGTCCCACCCAATCTGGCAGGAAGGACATGTTGCAGACTCCATCAGCTAAAGAATTCTGACTGGCAGGGTCAATGAGGAGAGCCTTCTCTGCCGTTGCCCCCACCCCGTGGAACATCTTGCCCCTTGAGGTGAGGCTGGCCCCCACTCTCCTGGCTTTCCAGAAGAGCATGAAGACCTGGCTCTACTACCTAGCATGGGGATCTAATGGGGGCTCACAGCACTGGGGGTGGTTGGTGGTTTGATGTCGCTTCCCTTGTCTTTTAACCCCATATTTATATATTTTTGTAAAGATTTTTTATTGTTTTTATCATTTTTTATGTGTAAGCCACCTAGAGTCACTGGTGTAGTGAGATGGGCAGCGTATAAATTTGACAAATAAATAAATAGTAAATAAATAAATAAATAAATAAAATAGCACATAAAATAGCACAAATAAGATTCCTATTCAGGAACATGTTTAACTTATAAGAGAAAATATAATTTCTCTTTGAAATTATAATTATTTATAAATGTGAATCTAAACAAAAAAATAAGAATATGCACATTTTATGCAAATATGCATCTTTTATTTGGTGGTTGGGTTTGGTGATGTATTTCT